CTCAGATGTGAGATGGGAAAGACAAGGGCGTGAGGGCAGATTTGAACTTCTGGCCTGAGTGAGCGGTAGACTGGAGCTGTCCTTTCCTGAGGTGACAAAGGCTGGGGAATCCCCTCGGGGCCTCCACTGGGCTTTGCTCCCTCAGGGAATGTCCTCATTCTCTCCTGCGTCCTGTGTCCTGTCCTGATTGGCTCGGCTTGGATTTGTGCTAGAGTCCAGTTCCAGTAGCAGAGTACAGATACGGTGTCTACACGGGCAGGAGGGGCTGGGAGTGGGGCAGCTTCCCTAAAGGAGCTGTGTTAAGTGATGGATATCATTTTGACATTTCCAGTCCAGTGTCCTGACTCTCAACTACTTTGACGCTTCATCTCCTGCCATCTCCCTCTACCCGCTCTGACTCTCCCCAGGCACCTGATACTCCAGCCACATTTTATCTGGTATATTTCCATGCCTCCATGTCTTGGCTCCTGCTGTTCCTTCAACCCAGGACACCTTCCTTCATCTGTTTCTCATTGTCATACTTGGTGTACCTCAGCTGGGAACTCTGTGGGGGTGGGGCGGGGACAGGACCTGCAGAGTCAGAATTAGGTGAGTTCTGGGGAATACTGAAGCGGGCCCCATTTGTGTCTGAGGTGGGTAAATGGGGCTGCAGTTAGAACAGAAAACTGGCCGAAGAGTACAGAACATGCTTGGGGGGCCCCTCAGATTTCCAAGCAGAAATCAGTGCCTCAAGAGGGGCACAACACAGCATGAAAACTTCTGGGCAAAAGTGGTCACTGTAGACAGTGGGATCCTTGCTGTCCAATCTGGTCTGAAGGTGACCAGAAATAGAACAGAACGTAAGGAGTTCTGGTGGGGCCCACGGAAGGCCCTGGCTTCCAATTTAATGGGTTGGGCAGGGCAGGGTTCCCAGTCTGGGGCACCCGGAGGCAAAGCCAGGCACTGGGGGCCAGGTAGCCTGCTACATATGATGAGGGGCAGTATTGGCTGGGCCAACCCAGCGTCCTGACAACTTCCAGGAACTCACGACTGGGTATCAGGCAATAGCCAGAGTTCGGCCATGTTGGGTTTTGATGGATCCTAAGCAAGGTCTCTGAAGTGGGGTGTATATTTTCCAGGGAGTGCAAAATTATCCATTTAGGCATGAGATAAGAACATTAGAACTTCTCTATGTATTCCAATCGTATCCTTTTTCTATTTTTTGTCCTATAAAATTCATGTTAGTCCAGTAGTATATTTATGGAATTGGTACATAAGTAAATATACCTATATTGGGAGCACACATTCAGAATTCTTTTTACTGATAGTGTGTATGATCAAAGAAGTTTGAAGACCACCCTTCTAGGAGACTCGTGATCAAAAAGAGCAGCACAGAGCAGGGTGGACAATGGGACTGTCATTTGATGAGATGGGGAATAGGGAGGAGACCTAGGTGGAGAGGGAGAAGAGAGGGAATAGACTTGATTAGGGGCTTGCTGATTTGTTGGGGACCCTTCATATCCTCCTGAAGGCCCATGATGAGGGTGAAGCTGAGCAAATGGGCTTGGGGAAAGAAAGGTCTTTGGGATCCTGGTGGGAAGGAGGTGTCTGGGAGACACGAACCGAGGGAGAAGGTCACTCCTTAGTCAGCCTCCAGGCCTTGTTTGCCATCCTTGGCAGCTCAGAGTGTCAACAGCCTTTCAAGTGGGAAGAGGCAGAGATGGGGGCTAAGGGACAGGTTTCCCCAGGGCAGAGAAAGAAAGTCTCCAAGAGCAGAGACCAGGTGGACACTGTGGCCTTTGTGGGAGAGCTGGAGTTGGGAGGCTGCTAAAGAGATAGAGGGGCGGACCCCTTCCAAATATCTCGGATGCAGCCTGGATAATCCTGGACAATCACTCCACCCCTCCCCAACGCAGGAACAGACACAGGTACAGAGACACAAGATCGTTCACTGGACACCGGGGGACAAGAACAGTAAGAGTGTCTGAAAAAACAAAACCGTTTTCCTACTTCCACACCCAGGGACAGACCCACGCAAACAGAAACAGAAGCCACCTACCGACACAGACATAAGCGCCCGCGCGCCCTCCCCGGGACGGACCCAAGGGCGCGCGAGGTCCCGTGAGCGGCAGGTTGTCCCTGGGTCTCCGCAGGGCCCGGCACTGTCCGGCCCTGAAGTAAATGCTCGGCGAGGAAACTCGTGGCGGGCGCGTACGGCATCCGCGGTCTCTGTGCGGACTCGGGGGATAAAGTTGCGGCTGCGCGGCGGACACCCCCACCCGTGGGGAGAGCGCCTCCGACGTCGCGTTCTGAGAGCCTGAACCCTACATCTGGGGCTGGCGGAGAGGCAGGGCGACCGAACCGGCCTGGTACAGACGCGTAACTCGTAACTCGACGTTTCTGTTAAGTTTTGGAAAGCGAGACTCCTTGCCCCAAGGGCGGGGAGGGCGGTGCGGGTAGCGAGCGAAGGGCGCAGCCGTCTGCGCGTCCGCCTGCGTTGGGCCGCCACCGAGAGGGTCTCGGCGAGAGGGTGGGACGTCGGTCGCAGTGGGAGTGCCGTTGGGAGGGTCACTCGGGGGGTTATTTGGGATCGACAGTGTGAGGGGAGGCCTATCCCAGAGACAGGGAGAGACAAACCTGGAGCCAAGGGGAGTGACATACAAAATTTTATTATTATTATTATTATTATTTATTATTATTTTATTTCTCATGTGCACAAAAAAAAAAAAAAAGGAAAAGAAAAGAAAGAAAGAAAAAGAAAAGAAAACGAACCGACGCGCTGGAAGTGGCTAAGCAGACCAGAGCTGTCAGGGGATCTCTCGAGGGTTCGGCTGGGTCCTGGGGCTGGGGCCCCTGCCGGGCCAGCTCCACAGGGACTGGACGGACCGGGCCTCGCAGTTTGAACCTCAGCGCCCTCGCCGCCCCGCTCGGGCCACGGAGCCTGGCCGGGCGCCGGCAGTTCCCTTAAACTATTCTCTTTTCTCGTTTTCCTTTTCAAATAAAAAGGCTCGAAGGGGAGAGAGATCTGGGCGAGGACTCCAAGCCTTTTCGGATTTGTTCAAGGATTTTTATTTATTTATTATTTATTTATTTATTTTCACTTTTATTGACTTTGTTTCTGTTATTTCGAGTCGTCACGATCCACGGGTGAGGAGACATGCAGGGCGCATCGCCGCTACCGAGAGAGCAACTACGGGGCGGGGCGGCCCAGGGCGCGCGGGGCACGGCCGGGGGCGGGTGGCGAGCCCGGGGCTGGAGCTGCCGCCTCGGAGCTGGCCTGCGCGGGCCAGGTGGCCGGGGCGGGGCTGGGGGAGAGGCCGAGGGAGGGGCAGAGACGGAGAGACAGAGACAGAGGGGCGAGAAGCAGGGCAGAGAGAGATGCAGAGAGGGGAGAGATGCGGAGGAGAGAGACGAGGAGAGCGAAAACACGGAATTACAGGGAAATAGCCAACGAAACAGAGGCGAGAGGAGTCCACAGGACCATGTTCGTCGTTTTGCATAGAGATTTTTCTTTCGTAATTTTTTTTGTAACATAAAAAATGCCCCCCTCCCCCAGGACGTGCTGTGCTTTAGTGGGCGTGTAGCTGTGTCCCCCCCTCCCCCCCAGCGAGCGGCGACTCTCACAGCACAGACAGAGGGGCGTATCTACAGGCAGGGCGGGCGGGCAGCGGGGACTCTACCGGGCGGGGCGGGGCGGCGGGGCGGGCTTATATACACGGGGGTTCGCCTTCACACGACACACACCGTCTTTCTACAAAGCAGCAGCCTGTTGAGTTTCTGTTTTGTTTTGTTTTTCCTTTTTGCAAAGACCATCATATTAAATAAATGCAGACTTTTCGCGGTTCTCTTCAGTTCCTGCCGGAGGAGGAGGCTGGGGCTGGGGCTGGGGCTGGGAGTGGGGGTGGGGGTGGACTGGGCAGCCCCCACTTCCACCCCGCCGCAGCTCAGAACCGGCTCCTACCACCGGCAGATCGCGAGTCTGTGTCGGGGGAGGAGACGTCCAGGAGCCGCTCGGCCAGACCAGTGCCCGCGGCCTACGGAAACTGGTCCTGCGGCAGGCACTGGAGAGCCTCGGAAGGGGCCAGGAGTTAGGCAGGAGAGATGGGGAGCGTCGTGGGATGGGAAAAGGACGGGCGTGAGGGGAGAATGGAAGGTCGGCAGATGGAAGAGACGCTGAGGTAGGGGCAAGGTGGGGCTGAGAGTCCGGTCCCTAGTAGGAGTGCCTGGACCCTGGGGAACCAGGCCGTTCGGGTGGGGTGGGGAAGAGCCAAGAGTAGGGCTCGGTGGGTGCGCGCTGCTGGGGCCTGCGTGCCTTGGGTCCCAACTTCGGGAAGACCTGACGGCCCCAACCCCCGTCCCAAGAGCCCGGACCCCACGCCCCCATTCCACTCCACCTCGCCGGGCAGGGCACACTCGGAAGGTGGGGGCAGTCCGGCTAGCGCGAGGGTAAGGACTCTTCCCGGAGGGTTCGGCAGGGGGCTCTTCCTCCTTCTGCAGAAAATCGTTTTGTTCTTAATTTCCTTCGCCCAGTCCCGCCAGCGAAGCCTCCCGGCGCCGGAGCTTCCGAGGCGGGCTGCTCCGGGGGCTGGGCCGCGCTGCAGTCCGTGCTGATTGTGTGTCACAGAAACGTGTCCCCCGCGCGCAGCGGCGGGCCCGGCCAGGGTCGGGCGGCTGGCTGGTCCGTTCCGGGGCCGGCTCCGGCCAAGCCCGGGCGAGCTGGGGCGCACCCTCCTCTCGACGCCGCGCGGTCCA